AGTAGGGCTGGAGGAGAGAGGGAAGAAGAGGAGGAGAAATAGGAGGAAGAGGAGGAGGTAGGAGGAGAAATGAGAGGAAAAGGAGGAGGAGGAGGAAGGGAGTAGGGCTGGAGGAGAGAGGAAGAAGAGAGGAGAAATAGGAGGAAGAGGAGCTGGAGGTGGGGAAAGAAGGAGGAGGAGAATAGGAGGAAGGGGAGGAGGTAGGCTGGAGGTGGGGGGAAGGGGGAAGAGGAGGAGGAAAAGAAGGAGGAAGAGGGGCGGAGGGAGGAGTGGAGGAAGAAGTGGAATAGGAAGAAGAAGAAGACCTGGGCAAGGAGGAGAAGGAGAAGGAGAAGAAGAAAGAATAGGAAGAAAAAAAAAGGAAAAGGAAGAGGAGAAGTAGGAGGAAGAGGAGGAGAGAGGGAAGAGGAAGGAAACAAAGGAAAATTATAATGATAATAATGACGAAGACGATGACGATGATGACGTGGAAGAGAATGAGGAGGCGAAGAAAAAGGAGACGGTATTGGGGTCGTGGTAAAAGGAAAATGAAGGAGGTGATAGTAAAAGAAGAGAAAATAAACAAGAAAAAGAAAAGATATATGAAAAAATCAAGAGAGCAAAAACAGAAAAAGAAACGAAAAAAGGAATGACAATAAAATAAACAAATAAATAAATAATAATAATAATAATGATATAATTAATAATAATAATAAATAATAATAATAATAATAATAATAATAATAATAATAAATAAAATAATAATAATAATAAAATTAGAAAAAAAGGGGAAATTTAAAATAATATTAATACACAGATCAGAATCACAATGATACTAGTGATAAAGATAGTAATGATTATTTAATAACAATGATGATAACAATGATAAAGATGACAAAAATGATAATAATAACTATAACAATAACGCTGCTAATAATAAATGTAGTAGTTGTAATGATAATAGCGATAAAACTGATAATAATAATAGTAATGATGATAATAGTAACGATGATGATGATGATGATGATGATGATAATAATAACAATAACAATAATGATAACAATAATAATAATAATAATAATAATAATAAATAATAATAATAATAATAAATAATAATATTATTATCATTAAAAAATAACAAATAACAATAATAATAAAAAATAAATAATAATGATAGCATGGTGTTGATCCTAATTTCATTATTTTGCTGGTGTTAAGGTTCAGGAATTATAATGACTGCACTATTGCCCATAGCAAGACTAACAGTCAAGGTAGGAGATATGATGTAATACTGGTAATTATAACGATTTTAGTATTTTTCTAAAAATATTATGATAATCATAGCAAAGCAGGTAATAAGAGGAAAAGTGAAAGGACAATGAGAACAGAAACAATGATAAAAGTAATGTTGCACGTAATCATGTTGAGATTGATGATAAATATTCTGAAAATACGATTAATACTATTAACAGTAATGATAAGAATAGCAGTAGTAGTATTAATGTGAACTATGACAAAATGATAATGGTGGTTATTTGATAAACAGTGATTATCGTGATAATGATATGAACGATAACAATTTTTAAAAAGTACAAACAAACAAACACAAAACATAAAATTATGATAAACAGAGATCATTACGATAATATCAACGATAGCATTTTTTTAAATCAAGCAAAGCGCAAAAAAACAAAACAAAAACACCCCCCCAAAAATCACAAGAACGCAAGAATAACAACAACGATAATAACTTAGGGTGAAAAAAGGACTTGATAGGGTTGACATAGAGAGCGAGAGAGGGTGAAAGAGGAAGGCCAAATCCGCGCATTGATCGACTTCGCAGATGTCTCGCGATGTCTGGTCCTTATGCGCTGATGCCGTAGAGTCCGTTGGCGTCGCTTTATTAGCTTTTATATAAAAAGAAAGTGAGAAAAAACTCAAAAGTGCGGATAAAAGGGGGATGTTGTGAGAGATTGATTTATTCCCGTCTGCTGGCTGAGTGGTGAAGAGATGGGCGTTTTTTTTTTCTTTTTTTTTAAAGAGAAGGAGGGTGAGAGGGGAAGGGAAGGGAAGGGAAGGGAAGGAAGGGAAGGGAAGGGAGGGAGTGGGAGAGGAGGGGAAGGGGAAGGGAGAGAAGAGAAGGAGAGAGGGAGAGAGGAGATGGAGAGAGAGAGAGAGAGAGAGAGAGAGAGAGAGAGAGGAGAGAGAGAGAGAGAGAGAGAGAGAGAGAGAGAGAGAGAGAGAGAGAGAGAGAGAGAGAGAGAGAGAGAGAGAGAGTGGGGGAAGTTTTTCTACTCTTCCTCTTCTCTTTTGCAAAGGTTGTTAACCAGCTTTGCATGTGCTTGATTTTTTTTTTTTTTTTTTTTTTACCTTTTTTTCTTATTAGAGTAATTTTGTCCATGGAGGAGGATGTCGTTTAACGCAAGGATAAGCAGAGTTGGGATAGGCTGAGTAAGAGAGATAAATGGTTAATGCAGAGGGAGAGTGGGAGAGGGGAAAGGAAGGAGAGGAGAGAGGAGGGAGAGGGAGGGAAGGAGAGAAGGAGGGAGAGAGGGAGAAGGAGAGAAGGAGGAAGGGGGGAAATGGAGAGAGAGGAGAGGGAGGGAGGCCGGGAGGGAGAGGAGAGAGGAGGGGAGAGGAGGAGAGAAGGGAGAGGAGGAGAGGGATTGGAGGAGAGGAGAGAGGAGAGGAGGGAGGGAGGGAAGGAGGAGAGAGGAGGGAGGGAGGAAAATGATAGAAGGAGGGAAGTGAGGAGGGTGGGGAGGAGAGTGAGAAAGAGAGAGAGAGAGAGAGAAACATAATCTCCGATAATTTTATAGTTTAATAAAGCAAATATTCACACACACATACACAATTTTTTTTCTCTCTCTCTCTCATCATCTCATCATCTCACCTCTCTCCTCTCGTCTCTCTCTCATATAGATCGACTAGCTATTCTCCTGTGTTCCAATATGATACGAAGACAAGACCAGACATAGATATAAATAAAGAAGATAGATAAACGATGGTTCTGTAATCACGACAGATGTATTACCCCCCCCCCCGTCTCTCCCCCCATGGACCTGCGTTGGCGACCTGCACAGGCAGTCAACACTCCCTCAATCCTGTCGACGAGCAGCAGCAGATGCTCTCATGTAAAAACGCTTCGCCTCACCTCTTGCGTCTCCGCTTTATGGAGGTTCTTCGGCGAGGAGAGGCTTTCCGGGTCACGGGTTTCGTTCATAACAGCTGATTCGCGAGCATGATTTGTGTACGCGCGGTGTGGTGTGTGATCTTAGCGTGAGTATGGGAATGCAATGTTTTGTTTTTTTCGTAAGTCATTATATATATGTATGTATGTATGTATATATTATAATATATATATATATATATATATATATATTATATGTGTGTGTGTGTGTGTGTGTGTGTGTGTGTGTGTGTATGTGTGTATGTATGTGTATGTGTGTGTGGTATGTATGTATATGTATGTATATGTATGTATGTATGTATGTATGTATGTATGTATGTATATATATATATATATATATATATATATATATATATATATATATATATATATATGTATGTATGTATGTATATTTATATATATATTTATAAATTTATTTATTTATATATTTTTTATATATTTTTATATATTTATATATATATATATATATATATATATATATATATATATATATATATCTGAGTGTGTGTGCGTGTGTGTGTGTGTATGGGTGTTGGGCGTGCGTGCGTGCGTGCGTGCGTGCGTGCGTGTGCGTGGGCGTGCGTTGTATTCTTTGAAGGCTAAATGAAAATAATGAAGTAAGTTCACTCACATTATGGTTTTTATTTAAGGAAGAAAATATCTTACGGTTTGCATGAATGAAATGTTTACCAGCGTGGCTTTCGTAACGATCTGAGAAAACATTTAATTAATCAGAAAATAAATGAAGACACCAGCAAAAAATAATATCTAATATAAGCTAAATGTATCATGAAAGATACAAAAGCAAGAGTTTATAAGGAAGACGTTTGAAGATTTGTAACGAAGCTGCGTGTGAATAATCATGTATACTTCAGGCAACAAATAAAGAAATATACCTTCTTGTTTCCTCTCTTCCTTTTTATATCTTTCCTTTGTTTCCCTCTTTCCTTCTTCTTCTTCCTTCTCTTCCTTTCCTTTTCGTATCTTCCTTTTTTTTCTCTTTCCCTCTTGTCCTTTCCTTTCTTCCTTTTTTCTCTTTCCCCCTTTCCCTTGCTTTCCCCTTCCTCTCTTCTCTTTCTCTTTCCCTTGCTTTCCCTTCTTTCCTTTCCCTTCTCTTTCCTTTTCTGTTTCCCTCTCTCTTCTTCCTTTCCCCTTCCCTTCCCTTCTTTTCCCTTTCTCATTCCTTCCTTTACCTTTCCCTTATTTCCCTTTTTTCCTTTTCCCTTCCCTTCCTCGATTCCCTTTCTTTTCTTTGCTTTTTTTCCCTTTCCTTCTTTCTTTTTTGCGTTTTCATTGTTTATCTTCTCCCCCTCTGTTTCCCATTTCCTTCTCTTATCTCCCATTTCCTTATCCCCCTTTTCTTGTTTCCCTTGTTTCTCTTTATTTTTCCTTTCCCTTTTTTCCAATTTCCTTTTATATAATTGTTTAAGTTTGTTTTATAAATCTTCGCCCTTATCCTTAGTAAAAAAGAAATTTCATTAATTCAGGTTTCCATTATCCTTATCCATATTTCTAACTAGCTAATTATCAGTCACTAACTGATTACCTTATCTATTGATTTATACAATCATTAATCTATTTACCTATAAGTCAACCTATATCATCTTGCATCACCCAACACATATATATATTTAGATTTTGTTGTTGTTTAAACACGCATCTCGTTCTTCTGTTTATTTATCGTGTTATATATATATATATATATATATATATATATATATATATATATATATAGATTTTGTTGTTGTTTAAACACGCATCTCGTTCTTCTGTTTATTTATCGTGTTTATATTTTCCCGCGCAAATGAGACGAATTCAAATATCGTTCCAGACGCGCGCCAACCCCGAGTGACCCCTGGGACTGCGCTCCTCGATGCCCCAAGTAAGTGACATCCTTCTGACATCCTACAGAGATCCTTTCAAGATTTGATCATTTCGAGTCATTGTAATCTTGACAAGGAGACTGATGTGATTTTTTTTTCATTTCTTCTTAATATTTTATTTCCTTATTTTATATTCTTTTTACTATCACTAATAGTGATTGTGATGATAATGAGAGTAAACATTATTGTTATCGTATTATTAATGATTATGAAAATTACAGTAACATTTAACAATACAGCAATGATGGAAAAAATAATACCAATAAAAATTATTATTTCGTTTTTGTTTTTGGTTATTTCTTAACAAATCAATTATCATGTTTTTCATATTCATGTTTGACGATTTCTTATTAATTACTGATTATTTTCCACACACACCAGAGAAGAGAGAGAGAGAGAGAGAGAGAGAGAGGAGAGAGAGAGAAGAGAGAGAGAGAGGAGAGAGAGAGAGAGAGAGGAGAGAGAGAGGGAGGGGGGAGAGAGAGGGTGGAGAGAGAGAGAAGAGGAGGTGGAGAGAAGAGAGAGGGGTGGAGAGGAGAGAGAGGGGAGGGGGAAAGAGGGGGGAGGGGGAAAGAGAGGGGGAGAGGGAGAGAGAGAGAGGGGAGAGGGGAGAGGAGAGGGGAGAGGAGAGAGGAGAGAGAGAGAGAGAGAGAGAGAGAGAGAGAGAGAGAAGAGAGAGAGAGAGAGAGAGAGAGAGAGGAGAGAGAGAGAGAGAGAGAAGAGAGAGAGAGAGAGAGAGAGAGAGAGAGGAGAGAGAGGAGAGAGAGAGAGAGAGAGAGAGAGAGAGAGAGAGAGAGAGAGAGAGAGAGGAGAGAGAGAGAGAGAGAAGAGAGAGAGAGAGAGAGAGAGAGAGAGAGAGAGGAGGGGGAGAGAGAGGGTGGAGGGGGGTGGAGGAGGAAGAGAGAGAGGGAGAGGGAGAGAGAGAGAGAAAGAGAGAGGAGAGAGAGAGAGAGAGAGAGAGAGAAGAGGAGAGAGAGAGAGAGAAGAGAGAGAGAGAGAGAGAGAGAGGAGAGAGAGAAGAGAGAGAGAGAGAGAGAGAGAGAAAGAGAGAGAAAGAAAGAGAGAGAGAGAGAGAGAGAGAGAGAGAGAGAGAGAGAGAGAGAGAAGAGAGAGAGAGACGAGAAGAGCAGGAGGGGGGAGGCAGCCAGACAGACAGATAGAGACAGACAGAACGCAAGAAAAAAAAAAAAAAAAAAAAAAAAGGCGAAACTTAACAAGCCCATCCCACCCCGACAGATACACCCTTCTCGACTGGAACACGGACTACGACGTGCGCCACTACCCGGAGACGTCTTGGGTCAGCACGGTCATCATATCCGACAACCGCGTCTTGGCAGAACTCGAGGGCTACATGAGAGTCCAGGACTACTTCTACGGGTTAAATGATCATGGTAAAACTGGCAGCTGGTGGTCGGTGGTTGGTAGTGTGGTTGGTGGGGTGTAGGGTGGGGTGGGGGGTAGGTGTAGGGGGGGAGAGAGGAAATGCCCCCGAGTTGTTCGTTAGGGAATAAAGATAAATTTTCTGAGAACAAACCAACGAAACTTATCTCGCGAAAGTACAATAGCTTTGACTCTCCATCAACACAGCAAAACGATTCTGATGTTATGAACGGATGATAAATAAAAGAAACCGCCTGCAAAGTTCTAAAGGTAACCACAGAAGGGCGCCTTTTCAACCTGTTGCACCACTTGCAATCTCATCCCCAGCACGCCACAGGTGGTGATGGTGGTGGTGATCATCATCATCATTGTAATTTGTGTCATCGTCATTATTAGTAGTACCATTATCATCGTTGCCATCATTGTTATTATCATCATCGTAATTATTATTGTCACTAGCATCACCATCGACATCATCATAAAAATGAAGATAGTAATAATAATAATGATTTCATTGATGATTATGATAATGATAATGATGATAATGATATTGATAATGATGATAAAGATAATGATAGTGATATTTATAATGATAATAAAGATAATGATGGAGAAAATTATGATAAAGGTAATGATGATAATAATAATAACAATAATAATAATGATAATAATAATAGTGAAAACGATTATGATAATGATGATGAGTTATAATAATAGCAATAATTATAATGATGAAAACTGTAATCATAATAGTAACAATAATAGCGATAAAAGTGATAACGTTGATGATAATAACAACGATAATGATGAATGATAGTGATAGTAATGACAATGATAATAATATTATTATTATCATTATTATTAATACTAATAATAACAATACTACTACTAATAATAATATCATTATTATTGTTAATGATAATGGCGCGCCAGTCAGTTTTTATTTTATTTTTATTTTTTTATTTTTTTTTTTGGGGGGGGGGGGATTTCGCTCACCGCAGGCATTCTAAAGAGTAAGAAAAAGTGGGAAATAAAAATCCCGAGCCAATTATCATATTTCATATGATA